CCATTACACTCTCTTCTATCCAGTCTTTAAAACCTCACTACACCACTACCCACAAGCTCTCATTTCTTCCTCACATCATCTCCTCCATATCAACCTCACCTGAGACACCCAACTAGTCGTTTCCCATCTGAGTTCCACTCGAGTGCCTGGCCTGACACCTGATGTCTCCGAATGGTCTTCTCAGTGCATGCCCAATACATATCCACCTCCTTCACCTGCATATTTGTTGACTGATAGCTTCTTGCTTCCTTGCTTCGTTGTCATCCAGTCAGAGTTCCTTGTTGCTTATTCTTATTGTTCTGACCATCTGATCTTCAGTATGGAGTCAGTGTAGGTGGCAGTTGTTGATGGTGTATATCAGTAGTTTGTTGGAAATGCTTTTCGTGACGTGCCAAGTGTGTCAAGCATCACATGGAAGCACTGACTGGAGTGAATTTGTGTTGAAAATCCGGAAGTTATTCACGCTTTATGTTGAGTGCAGTATAGTAGATCTCCACAGTGATTATTTCATATCAATGGACGCCTGTCTTGTTGTTTTTCCGATCCTGGCTTTGACGTCCTCGTCTGTGCCTATGCCACCTGTAGTTGAAACGGTGCTACCAAAGTGGGAAGGTGAAAGAGGCTACTTCCTTGAAGTTTCTTCCGTTAGAATAGTAGATTTAATATTGTGCAATAAGCTTTTATCACAGATTTTAAATATCAAGTATTTTGTATACTTATGTCATAACTTATACACTGTTTTTATTGAGCTGACTTCAGTTCGAATAAACTAGAGTAATATCAAAAAGGCATTAGTATACATTTATTACTTCTTATTGTATTTTGTTATTGTTAATGCTAAGCGGGATAAATATTGTTTTTCATTTCGATTTGTAGTAGAAAATATTACCACCTAATAAGTGTAAGAAAATCTTATAGAAATGTGATTTTTGAGTAAATTATTATGAGAAAATTTATTAATATTCACCCATTGTGTATGGATTTTGATGACTAGAATATTGTTCTTTTTTTTAATGCAACAGATTCTAAGCTTGCTTTTTATTGTATCATGTAATTATACTGAAATTCATATCTGATATAACTTATACATAGGAACAACAGTGTTTAACACAATTATGCAAACAATTGGTTTGATAAGTTAAACTCAGTAAGCAAATTAGTGAAGACTAAGGACTTGTGTATAATGTCACATAAACTTGAAGATCTACACCCAAAAGCTAACAAATTGATAGAAGAGTCAGCGAAGACAGGACTTCAAGTGAATGTAGAGAAGATAGAGGTGATGGAGATACCCAACCAACATCAAGACGAACAAGCTCCAATCACCATCAACAAGAAAGCTTCGTACAGGATGCATTGCCAATAAATCAAATATATCAATAAATAGTAATAACCAATACCCGTTGTACAAGAAGCGGCTATCGTGCCCCAGTGGCCTAGTGGGTAACGCTCTCGCGTTCGAAGTGATGGGTACTCGGTTCGAGTCCGAGTGGGGTGCACATATATTCATCCAACAAGTTCCAAATTGGATGGAACCTACATCCTCGACTCCAGTAATATTTTTTTTACTACAAATAGAAGTGATAAACAATATTTATCCCGTTTAGCATTAACAATAACAAAATACAATAAGAAGTAATTAATGTATACTAATGCCTTTTTGATATTACTCTAGTTTGTTCGAACTGAAGTCAGGTCAATAAAAACAGTGTATAAGTTATGACATAAGTATACAAAATACTTGATCTTTAAAATCTGTGATAAAAGCTTATTGCACAATATTAAATCTACTATTCTAACGGAAGAAACTTCAAGGAAGTAGCATCTTTCACCTTCCCACTTTGGTAGCACCGTTTCAACTACAGGTGGCATAGGCACAGACGAGGACGTCAAAGCCAGGATCGGAAAAACAACAAGACAGGCGTCCATTGATATGAATAATCACTGTGGAGATCTACTACACTGCACTCAACATAAAGCGTGAACAACTTCCGGATTTTCAACACAAATTCACTCAAGTCAGTACTCCTATATGATGCTTGACACACTTGGCACGTCACGAAAAGCATTTCCAACAAACTACTGATATACACCATCAACAACTGCCACCCACACTGAAGATCAGATGGTCAGAACAATAAGAATAAGCAACAAGGAACTCTGAATGGATGACAACGAAGCAAGGAAGCAAGAAGCTATCAGTCAACAAATATGCAGGTGAATGAAGTGGATATGTATTGGGCATGCACTGAGAAGACCATTCGGAGACATCAGGCGTCAGGCCAGGCACTCGAGTGGAACTCAGATGGGAAACGACTAGTTGGGTGTCTCAGGTGAGGTTGATATGGAGGAGATGATGTGAGGAAGAAATGAGAGCTTGTGGGTAGTGGTGTAGTGAGGTTTTAAAGACTGGATAGAAGAGAGTGTAATGGAGGCGTGTTACTGAATGCCTATGTTCTAGTAGGTACCCAAAGGACAAATAATAACAATGTAATTCTAACTGTTATGATACACAGTAAGATTTTCCCAATTCTCTTAAGCTCAAAGTCACTGAAGCCTCTCATAACTAATTTTTCTGCCCCTAAATTTTAAGAAAACGCGTGTGAACACAGGCGTAGATATCAAATTTATAGAAAAGATAAATTCATTCGGCTATATCCTTCTGATGGAGCCTGGAAGCGGTCTAAGCCGTCGTAAATATAGGTAAACTGTTGTATATTGTACATATTTTGTCGATGCAATACACCTTCTTTCTTGGTTTTATTGTGTTCTCTAATCCGGGCTGTTTAATCGTGGAGCATTCATCGTCATCCTGGACGACATCATCAGCACTAAGAGACTGGGAGCCATTATTCTGCCTGTGATTAAACCAAAAATTTTGATTCACTGTGTAGACGATACTTTTGTCATCATTAAGAAAGATGACATAGAAAACACCCACAGTTTGATCAACAACGTTTTCAGTGGTATCAAATTCACAATGGAGAAAGAGTTAAACAACCAGCTACCATTCCTGGATGTTTTAGTCATTGGGGCAAATACCGGGAAGCTTGAAACCTAAGTGTACATGAAGCCAACACACACTGAGCAAATCCTCAACTACAGTAGCAACAACCCAACAACGCACAAAGTTATTTGCGTGCAGACTCTATTCAAAAGAGCAAGAACACACTGAAGTACAACAACTTCAAGGAGAAACGAACAAAATTACTTGATGTCTATCCTAAAGAAGAATGACTACTCACGAAACGTTATCACAAGTTGCCTATCCCGTATACAACCAACTGCAAAATCATCCATAGAAATCAACAAACGAATCATCCTACCACAGATAAAGAATATATCAGAAATCACGACAAGATTACTGAGACCACTTGGAATATTGGTGTGGCTCATAAACCAACAAATTCCCTCCAAACACTATTATGCAGACCAAAGGATGTGACAACCAAAGAAGACAAACCGAATATCATTTAGAAAATCAAATTGCTATCATATTCAGATAAATGCTAAGCTATCTCTCATCTAAATTTGGATTTCACATTGTCCAATCGATCATAGACAGGCTTCATTACCACCAGTTTCCTGCGAACATTAAAGCGCAGATATACAGAAGGCCACAGTAGCAATCTATAAGAGTCCAAATAAGAAATCTAGAAAGAGTAGCAGTCCTCCAAAGATCTTCTCCAACAACGGCTTGTGGTATTGTGATCTATCTGTGTCCATCGTTGGTTCGATGTCGGCAGACACCATGTGAGACAGTGGCTCCCTTATCCCTGAAGTTAGTGCTGCCCAGAAACAAGTGATTATCAGAACAAAATTGTAACAGACTATCATCACTGTCAGTTTGTTGTTATGGGATTCCGTATATTACCTTCCAGATGCCTTTCCGATTAGTTCAGCTTTCCTACTAGAACACTAAAGTCGCCTGCTATTATGACTACATTTGAATGTTTTGCTTTTTGTAACAAAATTGATAGCTTTTCATCGAATTCATACTTTGCATCCTGCGAACTGAAGTCGATGGTTGCGTAGGTGTCTTAAGCACTACTGGACAATGGTAAGGCATCACCTCGAAAAATAATGTTTTTTTTTCTAAAGAAAACACTTTCCAAACAAGCTTTTAGCATCGACACAAGTATAATTAGTATCGTGTCATCATCATCATCATCATCATCATCATCATCATCATCATCATCATTATCAACATAGGATCAGGCATTACTGCGTAACGGTCCGAGTTGCCACACCTCATATCAGCACATCAAGTAAAAACGTAGTGAGGTGAAGGATGAAGATAAGTGAATGCAGTCAAAAGAAATATAAAGTACGAGAAGAAAGGAAAGAGGAGTGACAAAATGGTGAGATTCGGTATAGCGTTGTTAAGATGAGGATAATGTGTGTATACATCTGCACCACTGACATCGGTTCTCAGCCATATCACATAGAGTCAGCCTCCAACCACTGGTTCCTCTTGTCCCGCTGACCCCAACCACCTAGTCTGCATCACCCTACACGGCTTAAACCAACAGTCAGAGACTTCATACATTGGTGCCATGTTTTAGTCTGGCCACCTCGGGCCTTTTTGCAGCCAGGACCTACTTCAGCCAACATTGTGTGATGAGGCAATCGGTGACTGGGCATACGTAGTACATGTCCCAACCATCTCAGTCGATGAAGGTTCACAACCTCGTCAACTGACTTACCTCTTCTCCCAAAACTCTACACCCGACTTCGGCATTACTCACATGGTGACACCACGAAATACGGCCTATACTACGAAGACAACGGTGGTCAAACACCTGAAGCCTTTTTGTATCCTCCACTTTCAATGGCCATGTTTGAAAGTGGAGGATACAAAAAGGCTTCAGGTGTTTGACCATCGTATACTTTTAATATACTTTTTAATATACTTTTAATACACTTTTAATATATTGATAGTATGATCATTTATTGTTAAAAAATAATTGCTCTCTCATCTATATTATTACTTTTACAAGTAATATAGAACTCTTGCTTTGGAATATGAAGAAAAAATATTCAGAGAAAGTAAGTGCCTTACAAAATAATTCTGAAGAAGTATTAAAACAATATTTCATTTCAAAAAATCAGTAAAACAGTTCTATTATTTAGAAGTAGCATTCATCGTGGACCGACATCACTTAAGGAACCATTGAAAATCTGGGAGCACTGGACACAGAAGCCGTGACCTGTGGGATCAACCAGTCGAAAGTGAAGTTGATGCTAACTGAAGACCTTCTGTGATAGTCACACTATGTTGTGAGTTGATAGAAGTTGGAAATTGTGAACCACTGGAAACCAACCCAGTGGCTGAATGGTTAACGCGTTCGCCGTGAAACCTGAAGGTTCTGTGTTGGATCCGTAGTCGGGTCATGGGTGCGTGGTGCCGAGGAGTCCGATACTAGGACGAAACAGCTGTTTAGTGCTCCCAGATTTTCGATGGTTCCCCAACTGATATCAGTCCATGATGAATACTACTTCTAAATTAAAAATTCCTATTCATCTCAAAAATATAGTTCTATTATTGTAAAAGAAATGCAACTACAGTATGCAAAATAATGTTGTATTATTATTCACTTATTTTGTCATTTTCAACAAGTATCATAGATAATTGGTTGAGTGTACAATCCAATTATGTTTAATAGGATTTTATAGAACGATTATTGATAGGAATGGACATATCATTCATTTGAATAAAAGCGTGTATCGAATGTGATCTAATGTAAGTAAATTGTTGAGACATATTATCAGAAAGTCTAACCCTGCGGCTTAATGCAATTTACGATCTGGAGTATAAAACATACGAAAGATGACATAAATTGGATTTCAAATGTAACCTTATTAAATTTGAGTGATTTATAGATGTGAAAGTAGATTAAGTATTTTTAAGCTATTTTAAAATCTAAATAGGCCTCTATATTGTGTAGAAGATAATGTACACTAGTTTGATGGAAGAATATCAACCTCTATATCCTTCAATTCTATTGGTCAACGTTTGTCCATCATGTTTTCTATTTGACTGTTGACTTTATTGTTGAATTAAGAATATTTAAATATTCATGAAAATGTGAGTTTCTTGAATATTACAAATATATCATACTGATGAATACTAGTAGGCATGAAACAGGTATCAAGCATCTCTTCCTACTAACTAATTCCTGAAATCTAACACTAAAATGCAAAATGTCAGGCATAAATAATATCAAAACTACTTGTTATGATGGAAGCAATCAATGAAGATTCAACGGAAGATAAACATGGCCTATAAAAACTACTTTTAGACTAAGTTGAACTTCGGACTATTACCTAAGGGAAGAAACTATCAACTGAAAATGGAAATAAGGAATCTAACATGAAAATTAACATAAATAGCATATTTTTTAATGTTTTAGATCAAATTGTTATCCACCGTAGACTGACATCAGTTGGGGGAACAAAGGAAACCTGACAGCACTGGACAGCTGTTCCGTCCGACCAGTATGGGACTCCTCAGCAGTGCGCACCCACGACCCCACACCAGCAGGGATCGAACCCGCGACCTTCAGGTTCCGCGGCCAGCGCGTTACCATTGAGCCACTGGGTCAGAATCCAATGCTCCATATTTCCAACTTCTGTTAGCTCACGAAACAGCTGTCCAGTGCTCCCAGGTTTCCTTTGTTCCTCCAACTGATGTCAGTCTTCGATGAATAACAACTTGAAATAATTCCAAATCTCCACAACTCCCTCAAAATTTAATGTTTTAGATGGTTGAAGATGTTCAAAAAGCTTATAAGTAACCTTCCTATTTTCTTAAAACTCCAAAAGTGATTTTAACTCTGAAGATACCAATATTATTCAGCAAACTAGTGTCCAATTCTTTAGAATAACACCAGCATTCCATTTCTCTGTGATCCGCAGTCAAATAATAGCCCTTAGAGCCACCTTAGTAAATATAGCCTTCTATAAATAAGTTTACCAGTTCGTGAACCACTTTATAGGTTATTGAATCAATTAACAAGCATTAATTGTTTATTGGCACTTGTAATTTCCTGTTGCTATTCAGAGCTCAATTGCTCAAGCTCTGTTGGAAGATGAGCTTTGATGTGGATGCCTCGATACTGCCGGTATTTTTGATCTCCTATTCGTCTTGATGACTCGTAGTGAAACCCAGGCTGAACGTTTTATGCTGTCTGGTACTCGTCAGATGGATATATCTGAAACTCAATAGACCATGGCGTTATAAATACTCGGGTAGTGTATAGGCCTCGATATAGGAATTTATTTGATGTGGAATAATTTGACTTAGTATGGCCACGGAAAATTAAAAGTGTCAATAGACAAAAAGTGGTGCCTGTGGTACAAAAGATGGCTGCCGTGACCCAGCGATGTAGTAGGTAACGCTCTCGCGTTCGAAGTGATGGGTACTCGGTTCGAGTCCCAAATTGGATGGAACCTTCATCCTCAACTCCAGTGCTAAGCATCAAGTAGGTTACAAGCATTCACATTTTCCAACCGATTTCTTTTCATTTAATAGTTGAATAGGGGAAATTTATCAATTACTGTTATGATAAAAATGATATGTGGTTTACGTTATACATTTATAATGTGTTGAGTATTTCAGTGCTCTAGTGGATAACGCCTTGGCGTTTGAAGTGATGGATATGAGGTTCGAGTCTGAATGGGAACAACATCACTCATTCGGGTGCAGGTACATTCAGCTGACCAGTTCCAAATAGGACGAAACCCACATCCTTGATTCCACTGCTAGCCACATCCAACCAAATTTTCATGATTAACATTCAGTTAATATCGAGACATCCACATACCAGCCCATATGTCGATAGAGGTGGAATAATTGGATCCAGTGAAACAACGGAGAATTACAAGTATATGAATAAATAGTAGTAACTACTAGTAGTTGTAGAAGAAGTTGGCATCATTCCTCTGTGACACAGTAGATAACGCCTTGGCGTTTGAAGTGATGGATATGAGGTTCGAGTCTGAATGGGAACAACATGGCTCACTGGTGTGTAAGTATATGCAACTGACAAGTTTCAAGCAGGACGAAACGCTCATCCTGAATTCGCGTGCTAACCACAATCATGTGAAATATTTCATAAATTTTATTTGTAACAAGTCTGTTATTGTTCTACATATTCAGAATTATCCAGTCACACATTTACTTGTTCATACATCATATTTGTTAAAATGAGGTCAAGTAAATCAATTCACATGAGAGATAGTATGAGGATAAGCAGAAAAAGAGGAAGAGAGAATGATTTGTTTCGATGAAACATAGAAAAAATACAGGATAAAAAACAATTCATAGTATTACAATAAACTGATTTTGTATATACAAAATAAGCTCCAATTTTTGAATGATCAAGCTATCACAGTGACTAGTTAGACATTTCTGAACATTTTAAGGTCACATTTTTAAAGACTACTGTTCTAAAAGGTCAGTCTCTGATTTTTTTCTTAAATACATATAATTGACACTTTTCCCTGTTTATTAATTTATTCTAATCAGGATGTTTTACTGATCTTGATGACTAGCAGAGGAATACAGGATGCGTATTTCGTCCTAAATGGGACTTGTTAGCTGAATGTACCTTCAGCTTAGTGAGTGATTTTGTTCTCACTGATCCTCGAACCCAGTACCCATCGCTTCAAACTCCATAGCATTACCCACTAAGCCATTGGGTTACTATGGCCACCTGTTGTGTGTGTAGTTGTTATTCTAATCAAAATATTCTTGAAACTGTTTTGTTATATACCCTACTAACTTCATTTTGAATACCCAGTTACTTCTTTGTAAGTAAATGCATCTGTTTGCATGGAAACTGATGAATATAATAGGATGAAAGTAAGCATTATGGATTCTATTAGGTGACATCTTCGTGACTGAAAAACATCATATTGTACAAATATGTGTTTATATGTCGACTTGAGATCAATACCCTCTCATCATCTTTGGTATGGTGATTAGCGAGTGCATTACTACAAAAAAGACTATAATCAGAGTATCGATGTTGCTTCGCTTCGGTGAGTGCAGATGTTCTACACTATTCTATACCAGTATTTCAGTAGATTATATGGTTATGCTTTGTTCATGCATTGACTTGAGAATAAATTGTATCTAGTCTATTAGGCACATCAAAACAACCTGATTGTAAGGAAATGAGAGAAAAAGTATACATCTACTACGTCTGCGTCGACCGAGAGGTAATTTGGTAACTGCTTAAATACTATGGAATACCGCAAACCTTTATCAGCCTCATTCAACAACTATATGAACACGCCACATGCCAAGTAATTCACAATGGGAAGCTCAGTGATGCCTTTCTGGTGAAGTGAAGACAGGAGTGAAACAAGGTGGCCTACTATCCCCTATGATATTCCTGATTGTGGTCGACTGGACTGGATCATGCAGCAGACAACAGTGGGGAGCTGTGAGAAGAGGGCGATACGGTGGCTGAACCGGGGAAAAGAACCTAGAAGATCTGGATTTCTCCAGTGATGACTTGTGCCTGATGTCACACAAACTTGAAGATCTACAGGCGAAAACTAACAAGTTGGCAGAATAGGTGAGGCAGCGAAGACGGGACTTCAAGTGAATATAGAGAAGACGCAGGTGATGAAGATACCGCACCAACAACTCCAACAACAACAACAAACTCTAATCACCATCAACGGGAGAAACTTAAAGGAAGTAGCCTCTTCCACCTATCTAGGAAGCACTGTTTCAACTACAGGCGGCACAGGCACAGACGAGGATGTCAAAGTCAGCCAGGATCGGAAAAGCAAGACAGGCGTTCATTAACCTGAAACCAGTGTGGAGATCTTCTGCACTGCACTCAGCATGTGGAACAAGATCCGGATTTTCAACACCAATTCAGTCAAGTCAGTGCTTCTGTGTGATGGTTCGGAGACTTGGCGCGTTACGAGATGGATTTCCAATAAACTACAGACATCCATGAATAACTGCGTAAGCTGGCTCGTTACTGAAGATCAGTTGAGATGGTCAGAAATAATAAGCGACGGGGAAC